TCGAGAAGTTTTATTTTTGGTTCCGAGAATGTACTTCTGAAAGGTAGGATAACTTCTCTAAAAACATTTTCTTAAAATGTTTGGTGAACATTGTTCGAACATTATACCGCCAAGGTTTTTGTTGTTTATGCACATATCTCAATGTGTCATATGGATCGAATAACACTTAGAAAACCAAAGACAGGACATATAGAAGAACGGGACCGACTATCACTGCCCGTCCCTGAAAACCCCTGTTAGTGTTTGTATGTGTTTCTTTCTACTGTGGTTTCCTCTCTCTCTGCCTGCTGGGTCTGCTCTACACGGCTGGGAGCAATCTCCAATCAACCCACACCTGGACCTGCTCGTCAGCACCACACTATGAAAACCTGCAACCGCACTCGATTCCCTTGCCGGATTTTGCTGAACGGTTTGTTGCGTGGCTGCTAGCTTTTACCGGCATATTCTTTTGACAACTTTGCCTGCTTTTTGCCGGTCACACTGATATTTGTGTCTCTCCCAGAGGAATCCAGGGCCTTCCACACTCCCAAGGACCAGCCAGGCCTCTTCTACCCACCCTGGAACAACTGTTTCCCCACTTGCCGCCTAACCCAACTCCCCTCCCAGCTTCCCCTTTTCTAATAAACAAAATGTTACTTTCACCAGCTGATTCCGTGTCACGCCTTTTACAAAGTGTTAATAGTCAAATTCCAAAGTTAAGTAAACTATCAAATCAATCCTAATGACCACAGTGGTCAGGTCCACGTACCCAGGAATTTGAGTTGAACAATTACAGGAAATATTATTGTCTTTATGTTTAAATAATGTAAACATATTTTAGTAATTTGTTACCATAGAACATTGCATAATTTTCTTTAACATTAACATGTTTATTCCTTCTCTAAAATAAAACTTCTGGCACATAAAAAATCTAACTTGCAGCTGAAAATGTTTTAAGAACAGTAGGGAATAATGTAGTCAAATTCCAATAGTTAAGTAAACTATCATAATCATCCTAATGACCACAGTGGTCAGTCCACTTACCCAGGAATTTTGAGTTGAACAATTACAGGAATATTATGTCTTTATGTTTAAATAATGTAAACATATTTTAGTAATTTGTTACCATAGAACATTTGCATAATTTCTTTAACATAAACATGTTATCCTTCTCTAAAATAATAAGCAACATAAACAAATCTAAAAGCTTCTGGCGAAAACGTTTTAAGAACAGTAGGGCATAATGTTCTAACAATGTTATCAAAAACATGTTAAGAATGTTTTTAGAGAACGTTATCCTACCTTTCAGAAGAACATTCTGGGAACCAAAATAAAAGCTTCTGCTGAAAACGTTTTAAGAATAGTGGGGCATAATGTTCTAACAATGTTTTCAAAAACATTTTAAGAAGGTTATCACCAAACATTTTAAGAATGTTTTTAGAGAGCGTTATCCTACCTTTCAGAAGTACGTTCTGGGAACCAAACAAAAACTTCCCGCTGAAAACCTTCCTAGAACAATGACTGTAACATTCTCAGAATGTTTTTAGAACCAAACATTTCTAGCTGGGATACTGTTGATAGGAAGTGGCAATTATTTATTGACACAGGAGAAACAAACAAGGAGTTAAGGAATAAGTAATAAAGATGAAATATAACAGTATAATTAGAGCAGATTATATACGACGCTATGACCCCAGCTGTAGCAGAGATAGGCAAGCATGTTCAATATAGCTGGAATTTCACTCTGACAAAAAAATTGATTTATACAACTTAATTCTGAGCAGAGGAATTATTCTGA